GATTCAAATTCCTAATGAATGTCATCAGGCTGATATTCTCTATATGCCTTATGATAAAATTGAAAAAATAACCTATATGTTTTGTCTTAATGTAGTAGATATTGCTTCTAGGTATAAAGCATCAGTTCCAATTGGAGGTATTATTCTCAATATCAAAGATTTTGATCTAAAAAATATTTTAACTTCGAAAGCTGTTGCTATAGCATTTAAAAAAATCTTTAATGATCCCAAGTGTCCACTTACTTACCCTAAATTATTGTTAACCGATAAGGGTTCAGAATTTAGAGGGGATTGTGAAAGACTGATGAAAAAGCATGGTGTAAAAATTCAGAAGGCTAATTCTAAACGTACTATAGGCATTGTTGAAAGATATAACCGAACCTTGACAGAAAGATTATTTCGAATACAAGATGCATCAGATTTGTTATTACCATTATCTGAAAGATCTCAGGCTTGAGTAAAGAACCTTTCAATTATTGTTAAAGAGCTTAATAATTCTATAACTTGGCTTCTTAAAATATCTCCTGCTGAAGCTATACGAAAGAAATGGGTTAATGCTATGTCTTCTTTACCTCGCAATGGTCCTGTTGGATTTGATGAACCTCGATTATCTTATAATATTTTGGTAAGATACTTACTTAAACCAGGTGAGTTAGAAGGTGGAAGACATCGCACGACTGATTGTAATTGGTCTCCGAAAGTTTATCATATTAAAGAATCCTTAATACAAAAAAATTAACCAGTATTGTACTGGCTTACAGATGAAAATGGCAATAGACCTAAAAGATCATTTGTTCGTGAACAATTAATGAAAGTTGATAAGATCGAATATCCACTCAAATGGGTATTACAAGATTAATAGTGAAGTTGGTATCTTTCATATATATTAATTTTTAAATTTCCAAACCATGTATTTTTTGAAAAATTTCATCTACTTGTAATTTTGTTCGCTTTTCTACTTTTTCTTCTTGATTGGATATTTCTAAATATAATTTATATAACTTTTCTAAACTAGTATATATCTCTTCATTGTACCAATCTTTAAAATCTGCCATTCTTTCATTATAGGTTTTCTCATTTGGAGTATGTTGCTTTGCTACATATCTAATATGATCTTCTGGATCTCTTTTTCGCTATAAAGTTTTAAGATAGTTTACATATAATGCTCCTAATTTATCATATTTTTTGGTACCTTGACTATATGTGACTTTAATTACTTCAATTAAAGCCGATTCGATATTTTTGTGATTAATCATCTTGTGCAAGTATTAAATATAGTTTTTGTATTAATATAGCAAGAACTTTTGTTTAAAATAAATATTTATTCTTATTATCATGATAGGTGAATATTCTTGCAACTATTTACTTAAAACTGGAGTTGTTTGTGGGTAAACCTGCCGTTGGCCCGAAGGGTGCTTTGAACATTGGAAGGCTATGAAGCGTATTCCCTGCAGGGTTTGTGGCAAGCCAACGAGTTCTGAACCCAGCCTTTGTAGAAAACATGCTAACAGTTATTATGTGACCCAGTATATTAATAGGCTTCAAGATAGAGCTATGGAGGCTACTGGACAGAAGATTTGATTCACGAAGTGGGGAGGTTTCACCTCTATACTAATCTTTTTCAAAAAAATTTACTCTGTCAAGACCTTTAGAAAATAGCCTAACATGATTTTTTTTACACCTAGCCTGAAAAAATTTACATCTAACCCGAAAAATTTACATCTATTCTATTTTTTTTATATCAGGATTACAATCAGAAAAGCATACAAAAGCAAGAAAACAAATTAGTAAACTTAAGGTTAACAAGCTTCGGAAAGATAAGAAGACAAATTAGCAAACTTAAAGTTAACAAGAGTTCAGATAGATAAGAAAACGAATTAACAATTTCAATAAGAAGAAGGTGTTAGAATACAATCTCCATATATATAAATTTACACCATAATTATAGAGCTTCTAATCTAATTCTAAAGCCAAGTAGAATAACAAAAAATAATATATTTTTTATATATAATAGTGAGCCCTATAAGACCCATGAGGACGATCCAGTAGCATTTTTTTTCACACAAAAGTCTGCTCGCCCTCCCTGCTGCTACTCGGCTTCCTCTATAGGCGCCCAAGTGCAGTCTGCCTTACTAGTTAAGGCTATTGCTCATACTGGAGGGCTGCACCAAGCTAGCTGGTGAAACTATAGCAAGATGGTTTCGATTTAAAGAGATTTTTAACTAAACTAAATTGGCAATTTTTCTCTTCTAACCTATCCTCCATTTTATTATGAACTAAAACTAATTTTTTATTAATAAATAATTCTATCTTCCTTCTCGATAAGGAGATATTGCTAGAAATCTCTTGTTTATATTTGTGTTTCCTTTTCCTCTTCTTCCAATTAAACCTGTCCTTTCTGATTAAAAACCCATTTCTTAGAACCTTATGTTTCATAGCTTTGTGGTCTTTTCCTGCTTCTTGGAAGCTTTTTCTGCGATCTTTCTTTGCCAATACTCTTCTGTAAGCTTTCTTTTCTTCAAAAAATCTTGTGTCTTCTTTTGGTTTTTCTGTTCCATAGTCTTGTATAGTCCACACAGATTTATTTTCTTCTATGTTCTGAGTATAGAGGTCTTCTCTTTTCCTTTTTTTACCTTCTTCTTTTCCTTTTTTTCCCTAAACTTTGGTTTTCTTCCCAAAAACTTTCTTTGAATTTCAACAAAGATTCTCTGATTCTCGAGGATTTCTACAAAGATCTTTTCTAGTATCCTCAATAATATATCTTTTTTCTTCTTTTTCTAATTTTTGGTACCTTTCCATCTATAATCTATTGTATCTTGAAGCGAATTCAAATCTATGCTTTTTTGGTCTTTTAGGCATCTTAGATTCCAATAGGATTTTACACCATGTATCTATTTTGCAAGCAACTCTTTCTTTTTTATATCCTGTTATTATATTGTGAGTCTTTGATACTAACTTAATATATTACTTCTATTAACTATTCTGCCAAAGTTGTTATTACAATTTTTGGTTTTGTTTCTTCTTGAATCTTGTTTTGCGGTTTTGTTTCTGTAAGATCTAAAATGTCTTGTCTTTTGTTTCTTTTTTCTTTTCTTTTCTGATTTTTCTTTTTTCTTTTTCTCGTCTAAATGCCGTAGATTCAACAGATATTTTAAACTGTAATATTAGAGTTTTTAATACTTTTTGGTTCTGCTGCCTTTGTTGAGTTTTTCTTTGTTCTTGAAGTTTTTTACTCTAATCTAGATTTAACTTCGACTTTATTTCAACAGCTTGCTTTTTCTTTTGTTAAACTTGCATCTTCTTTTTTTCTTTTTTAGCTTTTCTTTTAATTTCTTGTTGATTTGCTGCGATAGTCTTGATAGATTCTTTGAATTGTTGTATTATAGACTTCAAAGCTGTTTTATTGTGCTGTTTTTGTCGATTTTTCTTTTGTTCTTGAAGTTTTTTCCTCCATTCAAATTCTAATTTCGACCTTATTTCAGTATCTTGTCTTTTTCTATCTTCTAGTAATCTTCTTAATCTGTTACCCATCCTTAATTCTACCATAATACCAACTATTTCTTCTTTTATAATTTTAACAATTGGGTCTTCTCCTCTTTGTATTGCTTCATAAAAACATTCATGATCTCTTTCTATAAGTGCAAGTTCAGTATACTCTAATTCTCCTCTGTTATACCTTCAAAATTCTTCAAAAAGTTTTTCTATTTGTGCTTCAGCTACTTCTTCTGAAAGGAGTTGTTGTCAGTATATTCTATCATTGTCTGTTCTACTTGCATGTTTATTATTTCGTCAGTTATTGCTGTTGTTATGTTCTAGATAGCTTCTAATAACTCTTTTTTTGTAACAGATCTTTTTCTAGCAACTTGTACTAACTTCTGCTTCACATAACTTGTTGTTTTTTGGTTATCATTGTTTGTTGTTACTACTTGTTGCAATTGTTTACCTCCATTGTTTAGTTTTGTCATGTAGTTTTTGATGTGTTTTCTTTGTTTATTTTCTATTACGCGTTGTGATTCTTGTATTATCAAAACAGATCTGCAATTTAGAGTTAAGGCCAATTCCCAAAAAATTCGCAAAGTGCAAAAAAATATCAATGATTTTTTACGACTTCTTTTATTTCTTTGCTACTTCCGTTCCTTTTACTCAAGTTTCCTAAGAGACTGAGTGTTTCTTGTAGTCCTCTTCTTCTTTTCTTAGAGCTCTGAGATTTGTTTCCTAGTAGCTTTTTGTGTCTTTTGTAGTTTTTAATAATTTTGTGTTTCAGAAAATTTATGTTTTGATGATCAGCGGAAAGAGTTGTGATTGATGGCAATCTGGAGTATTATAAAACAACCCAAAGCAAAATACTAAAGTAGGTCTAATTTAGTGAAGTGGGTTGAAGATTAGATCAACCCAAATCAACCCAATCCAACCTATTAACAACTCTACTTATCATTTAAATCCAAAAAGAATATTCTATAGAATAGGTGGACAATATAAGAAATAAACTTTGTAATACAGTAATTAGTAATCATTAATTTTTTAAAAGCAGAGTTGCAGAGTTTGTAAAGTTTGTCTATTCTATAAAATATCTTCTAAAAACTAAATTGCTTTGAATTATATACTGTATTCTACTAATTTTATATCAACATATAGGATAGCACTATGGTACTATAGCACTATAATAATATTTTCTAAAAATAATATACAGTATATATTCTTGTTATTTAATGGATATCTGTAGATACAGGGTATTCCATAGAATAATAGTAAATCACGTGGCCGAAGTCTATATGGTTTACTATTATTCTATGGAATACACCGTATCCACAGATATTCATTAAATAACTGGATTATTTTATGAGTACGATGTAACAACCTGTGCGACTACGTAATCAAATAAACTTTCCTTTTAACTCTTATTTTAGTAATTAATTTTAGATCGATTGACTTTTAACCTTATTAATCTCTTTTTTTTTTCTTTACAAAATGGGTAAAAGAAACCATAACGATGCCCCTACAGAAGAAGAAGTTTTGGAATTGCAACAAATCTCACGAGTAGAGAACACTAACAAATGTACTTCAAAGTGGTTACGTTCAGTCGACAGATTTCGTAAAGCTATTAGTTATGAAAAAGGTATTGAAAAAATAGAGACAACAACAGAATTGGAAGACTTTCTTTGCAGATACATTACCTGGTTGAAACGTTTGGACGGAAATAACTATAAGGCAGAAAGTATTTACAACTGTTATACCTTTATAGCCTGTTACTTAAAAGAGAATAGTGAAATCAAGCCATGTAGGTTTTAGGATTCGTATTATTTCAGTAAGGTGTTGAGAACTCTTAATGGTAAAATGAAAAAGCTTCAAAGTGCGAGTTTGGGTGAAACAGATCAAGCATCTCCATTAACCACTGAAGAGATTATTCAAATTTTTAATCATAAAAAAATGCAGGTAGATACTAACGAAGGGTTGGTGCAACAAGTTTTCTTTTGGATATCACTTTTGTGTAGTTTTCGCGGTGGTGACGCTGAACAAATTAAGTTCAAAGATATATTACATTGTGATGATGGTGGACTCTTTCTTACATTCAATCACGAAAAAAATAACCAACGTGGGGCTTTGAAATGAAATAAATATGGGAAAAGTTCTGCATGAAAGATTCCTATTCCTCCTGATCATATTAATAATCACTTTAAACTAATTAATGATATTTTGCATTTAATATCTTTACGTCCTACGGGTACTTGTGACTCATTTTTTCTAGAAACGACACAGGCATCCAAGGGTTTAAAGCGTTTGTTTTGTGATTTACATTTTTTAATTGATCTTTGTTACTAACCTTTTTTTTTTTTTACAGATATTCAAAAGGGTGTCTGGTTCAAAAAAAATTGAATGGGAGTCAATAAATTAAATTTAATGATGGTAAAAATTGCAGAACTCACAGATATCAACCTTGACAAGGGCTGTAAAATCTGTAACCACTTACTATGATGTACTGCGATCTAACGGCTTAAAGATTTAAATATCCCAGAAGATGGGCATATGGTGTTTTCTAGACATTGTAGTAGGGAGGAAATTTGGGCTTATAATAGCCCAAATGATGAACAGAGGCTCAGGAATATGTCAATATTAATTTCTTTAGATCTTGACAATATTCCATATGAAAAGTTCAATTATTTTCCTGAGAATGCAATAAACTATTTGGACTTTGAGGACGAAGATTATGATGAAGATATTTTGTTTTATTAAATTAAGTTTTATTATACATATTGATTTATTTACTAACAGTTTTATTTTAGCACCTTCACTTTTAAATAATAAAAAAATAATCAAATTAACAAACATCGCTGAGACCATTACAACAACCATTGTGTGAACCATCACGTGAACCATCACTAGGCCTATTGTATGAACCATCTTTACTATTGCATGAACAATCGCCAGAACTATTGCATGAACAATCACTGGAACCAATCTATAAACAATCACCAGAACCAATGCATGAATAACTGCTAGGACCAATGTATGAACAACTGCCAGAACCAATATATAAACAACTACCAGAACCAATTAATGAACAACTGCTGGGACCGTTGAATGAACAACCGCCAGAATTGTCAAAAAGACTATCATCACGATCACAAGTTTTAAAGAAATTGTATACTCTATTTAAGCCTCCTTATAAAAAATTACAAGATCAACCCTCTCGTGTTCCTCAAACACCATGAATTGATAAGCCAGGTCATGTTGACAGACCATCCTTAAGTGATGTGACTAATCGTTTTATGCCTTTGACTTTTCATGATATTCAGAATCAAAATAATAATGCAAATAAAAAGAAATTCATTATCATTTTCATTATCATTTTTCAAACATGTAATTTAAAATGCTTCAATGTTTTTAAATTATTGAATAAAATGCTTTTTATTTAAATAACATAATTGAATTAATAAAAATTTCAATAATTTCAATAAATGTAATGACAATTTTAATCACATCGGTCTATATGAAAATCATGTGTCACATGATTTTCATATAGACCGATGAAAATAAGCTAGAGAAAAAAGCACGGATTGTTACATAGTACCCATGGAATTATTTAAAATATTGCTATTGCTACCTTCTATTTTTGCTAATACTACCTCTTCACATAATCTAATCCTAATCAATAATTAGAGTTATGAATAATGAAGACCAATCAGATTATATGAGGCAGTTCCCATATTTTATTAACTAATATATAAAATTATTTTAGCCAATCAGATGATATCCGATTTACGTAACATATTTTTGTTGATCACGAACATTGGCCAATCAAAACAAACTTTATTATGCTAAAAAAAATTGATCTACAGTATTTGTCACAATAAAAAGGTTGCAAATCTCAGCAGGTTATGATTGTCTAAAATTGTTAAAAAAATTAAAAATACGTGTATGCATACATACATATCGGATAAATCGGGGCTATAATTTAAATGTAATTTTCATTTTCGAAACAACTTGAAAATGGATCACTTACATTCTCCAACACAAAAACGCCCATTGATAGAAGAGACGATCTTACCTACACCCGATGCCGCACTTCCACCGTCTGATCAGCAGAATAAACGTCTTAGACTTTTACCTCCTATTTCAGTCACCCCTTCCCAAGCAGCTCCAAACACTTTTCCACCGAAATTTCAACTTCCAATCCCTCCAACCTTACTCGAATCTAACACAACTAGCTTGTCAAGTCATTCTTTAAGTTCCTTATCTGCAACAGATTCTCCAATATTACCAATCGCCTCTCCTAGAACGCCTTCAGGCCAACAAGAATTACCCTCTATCGATTCTTTAGGTCCTTTGCCGCCACTTCCTCATTTCGTTTCAACTACTCCCCCTAACACAATGTCCATATCCGCGATTCTTTCAAATAATGATGATCCGTTTATTAGGAAGCTTGACATGAATATCAAGGAAATTGGAATTGGGAATAATTTGACTCAACAGCATAATTCTCATGATTATAACGGTCTACATCATTTAAACAAGGGTGGTGAATCATTACCTCCTTCACTACGTTTCGAACATTCTGTCGATGAAAACGTAAGCGATGTCCATAATGATGAATTAGCTGAAAAAAAGGCAGACAAGGAACCAGATCAGAGTGATATTGATTGCGAAACGCATGATTTAAACTCAGATAATGCTGATGACAATGCAATTGATTATGAAAATAATTATCAAAACGAAAATAATAGAGAAGCTGGTGAAGAAGGAAATGAATCTGAGGAAGACAATCAGAGCGATGAATTTTCATTCGATTATTCCTTATTTGAAGGGATAAAGAGGGAGCCACATCTGATTGTCCAAAACGATGAGGCATTAAACATGGAAGGTCGAGAAGAACGACATCTAGGTAGTTAAAAATTGGCTGATCAAATTTGTTTATTGATAACGACGGGTTTTATAATCGGAAAACGAACAATATGCATGATTCAACTTATTATCTTCCTTTCCTAAAACATAGGACATATAATATACAATCCGAAAGAAATTTTACCGCCCTTAGAATTTCATGAAAATGGTTTATTAGAAATATGGATTTCCTCTAAACATTTGACGTGGAAAAACAATAAAGTTAGAAGCCAATTTCTATGGGGTACAGATGTTTACACAGATGATTCAGATATTATTGCAGGTAATAAGTTTTCTGTATCTATAATCAACAAAGTTAATTAATTTTTGATGCAATATATATATATGTATATATACACCTTTTTTTTGCATTCAATTAGTGCTTATTCACACAGGACTTTACATCCCTCCACCGCCCAATTCATCTAATTATCCAGACTACGATCTTTGTGTTACAATCAGGGTTTTACCAAAATTGGTTCAGTACACGGCAACTGTACGAAATCAATATCAAAGTCGATCATGGGGCAATCATCACGGTGTTAGTTATAAAGTTGAAAGTGTTCGTAAAATGAAGGTATGTTATTTTATCCTAAAATCACTGCCAAACTTTTTCCTGAATATTAATGCTAGTAAATAAAGAACGGTGAAGCTATTGGACGATCAATAGGCCATGGCAGAAAAGAACGCCTTCGAAAGTTTCATAAAATGAGGAAACGTGCATTTGAAGAAAATGAACTTAATCAAAGCGATGACCCTGTTATTGTTTTCAACAACGAAGGGGACCCATGGTAAGTCTATTTTTATGTTACAGTATTCCGTTTATACATTCTCACTATTATAGTTTGTATTCATTGTTATTATATTAGCTTTAAATATACCCCCCAATTGATGGCGGACGACGAATTCGTAAGAAAACGACTTAGAAATGAAGTAATGTATTTGGAAAATGACGATGAACGGTAGGTGAGAGCTTTATTTGTTGAAATATTTGAATCTTTCACTGACGATTTTTTCTTATATAGTTATGAAATATCATACGATGAGACTAGAGATAAATATCGTTTTGCAATTGTATCATCTTCCGTACACCTGGGTCCGCCAGTACCATTAAAGGATCAAGAAAACTCTCCCAATAAAATGCAAATATTTCCTTTGCCTTCAAGTTTGGAAGATTCATTTCGTGATGATTTGGATTATCACGAAATGACTTGGAATATTGTGGGTGTAATTGTTGCTGACAAAACCAACCCGTTACATAGTTTACTATGTATTTCTAAACGTGTATTTTGGCGTGATCGAACTGTGTGAATCCCTAGAATGTTATTTTACTTTTTACGATGAGTAGAATTAAAATTTTTTAATAATGTGACTAATATCTAAATGTGTGTCAAATTTATATCTAATTATTAAGTTATTGTGTTATTATGCAAATGTAGTTTATTATTGATATTGAATTTTTATCAGTTTCCGAAATTTGAGCGCGACAAATTATAGATTTTAGTATTGGAATGACTATGTATATAACAAATTCGGTTTTTTCGATAATTAAATAGAGTGGTCAAAGTTTGTGTGAAAATGTTTATTTGTTCCATAATTTGTTGGAGTGTATCCTTTCAAACATAGTGCAGATGATATCGATATAGTGATAATCATATATTTTTGTTATAATTAAATTTTGGGATCTACGTTCCATATTACAGTATTAAGTTATTATAAAAAAAATCGATTTACTTCGCCTTTAATTTCTTCCGCAATATTTAACATTTTTAAATTCTATAAAAGCAAGATGTTTAATGAAAAGTGTTTATAAAGTAATAACGTTAGAATTTTATCTTACTAATTGAAATATGTCACGGCTTGGTTACTGCGATCATATAGTAATTCATTGTCCAGAAATTTAAAGAGCACAAGAGAACTTCGGCAAATATGTACGTAAATGTTTATTGGTTCAAAAGTTATTAAGGATTAGATTTTTATATCGATTTACTATGTAGCCCGCATGTGGCCTGCATTATGTTTGTAAATCATGTGATAGCAGACACCCCAGGTTATTTCAATAGTGAGATAAAATTCTAATGGTATTACTTTTTAAAGACACTTTTTATTAAATATTTTGCTTTTATTTTAATGGTACTACATAAAGGATTATCATATAAACCACCCCCTTTAAAGTAGACCCCACGTGATTTTTTACTAATCATTTTCTTTTTTTTACTAATTAAATAAGAGGGTGAAATGTAAGAAACTTCAGGTGGTTTATATAGTGAAATACAGTATCA